AAAAACACACATCATTGTAAAATCAATACATTCATCACTTCGTTCAGAATCTAAAATATAATAGAGATACAATTAACATTGACAGAATATATCCGTAACAAAAACTTTGAAGTACGCATGATCATCCACCCAAATTTTCTATTATTATGTTTTTACTTTTTAATAAAATTTCTATTTATGTCAAATATTGTAGTGTATTTTTCTCAGTAAACATAATATATACCTAATATATATAAACGTTAAATTCAAATCGAAATCCTCCATAATATAGAAATATAAAATAGTCAATAAAAAAAACAACAAGGTATATTAAGTACTTATGAACAATAATATCCATCAGTTTTTATGAGAAAATCATTCTTAAAGTGCGTTTTTTAATTTTTTAATTCAACAGAAAAAATCAGTTAATACTATTCACACTGACGTATAACACGCTAKAGGTACGTAATACCATTTGATAATTCGATGCAAAAAATAATTAATAAATAAATAATACCTTTAAGTACTAAATTTTAACCAAACCAATGAACGGTTTAAAAAAAATGGTGTAACATTTCTACGAACAATTGACGATATGAATATAAAAATAAACACAAAAGAACGAAGAAAAAATTAATTCTAATTATTAAAAATACTCAGGCAATATCTTTTCACAAACAAATGATGTCGAGCAGTCGAGGTCGATTTTTTTTTGTTCTGTTTTACCGCCAGAGAAACATTTATTACACGTAACAGGCATCGACCACGACGAGTATCGCATTCGTTAAATATTACTTTAAAATCCTTTAGAATTAAACATATTACGTGAGTAAACAGTGCCAATCTGAAGTCGTTAGCGTGTTTGCGTCCAATTTTTATATTTTTGGAATATAATATCATACGTAATTCTATTATAAAAATTTATTGTTAAAAACTAAGGAAATAAAAATCAATCATATACTAAATAAATAAATAGTTCAGTTTTATAATAATAGTTATAATAGGTTAAAGTGCATATTTTATAACTTTGATATAAGTTATAAATAATATATCCAAAGTATATAAGAAAAGCATATATTTTATATTTACTCAACCAACAAAAATAACAAAAATCCTAACGTACGTTATTACTTATTACAACCATTATGGATTTTCGGAAACCAAACTAACTTTTAAAATAATTTCGTTAAAATTTGAAATTGGCGTAAATTTAGTGGTTATATTTTTAATGCTGCAATTCAATTTTATTTCACTTCATCCCCACAAGGTCCTTAAAAATAAATGTTTTCTTTCTATCATTATTATCCCAATTATTATTAAATATTTTCAAAACCTCAGGTGTTACACTGTAACAATTACAGGTATATATCTAGTGGCTACTGGTGCTTTTATTTATTAAATATATTAACTACTATAAATATAGTATGATATTAACTACTATAAATCTTATTCATTTTCGTAGCAACAGTCCATAATTCACAACTTTAAACAATTATACACCATATACATTATACGTGTATATATATATATAATATATCATATATATTATATATATATATACCGTCAATACATACTTAACAGGGATAACATCAAATGAACGTCATCATGGATTCATGGACATCTCGTGAAACTTAGTTGGCAAGTATTCTGAATACATTTTAAAATGTATAATATTATATAGTATTATAATAGTATCCTATACTCCATCCGGCGTCCGTTCAATAAATTGTTGGTATAGCACGCATTTCAATAGTTGGCGTAGCGGTGCCAAAGTATAAAGAAAATATTTTATAGTATCATTGTGATTTAAAAACCTATAAGAGCATAATTTAATAATTTATTGACACCAAACGGCAATTTACAGATACATTGTAATAAGTATATACATTATAAAGTATTTATGAATTATTTACATCAAATAAATTTAAAAAAAAGTTTAACTAATTGAAAGAATTGTACATTAATATTATAATTGTATACACTATATACATGATACATTAATAATAACTATATAGTATATTTATGAACTGAGGAGCAAAAAGATGATGTTTTTTGTTTTTGTTCCCAAGAGTTTACCTATTATAAGTTGTTGTACTAGGTATAATGTACATATATATAATAATTTATAAATATAAACTATATAACGAGATATATAGGTAGTATATATAATATATTAAATTAAAACTTAAATTATAATTATAATTATAATGAACTTCACACATATTATAATATTTTAACTGTGATACATTTTGAACCATACATTATTTCAAAACAGTATACTAATACTGTAAAAATAATGCATACTATATTGTATGATTGTATTTGAACCCCAGTAGTTTAGTTAAACTTCTAAAATAGTCTACACGGACTGCAGCATAAACGAGAATGATTATACCTATATTCTGTATACACGCCAGTTCACAGCATTTTTATTATTATCAATAAAACGCTGTTTGACTGTTAAGTGATATTGAAATGTGATAAAGTACGACCAAGTACTAAAGAAAATCGTTAAAACATGAAGATTATAGTACACGGGATGTTATTATTACGTTATTATAATTTAATTTATGACACACTTATGAGACTGTTTTTTAAATAATTTAAAAAATATTAATAATTAAGTATTTCTTATTTTCAGTAGGTTATAGATGGCTTAGGTACATAATACAACTACATACACCGATAATAACAATTAATAATCAATTTGTTAAGTAGAAAATTGTAAAATTTGAAATTTACAAGGTTTTGATAAATATAAMACAGTGTACGGTATATTGCAACGAAAATAAAGGAAAAAAATTCAAATATACTTTGCTCGATAAATTATATGAAATATTTAAAAATCTACAGTCTTACATTATTATGTTAATATGTATTAAAATATGTACCTATGATGTTATATCATTTCTACAACCTTAWTAAAAACAAAAACAAATTAATTCTTGTACTATTATATTATATTATTAAAGTACCTACATCCATTCTCCAGAGTTAGTATTATACAAATACAATATTAGGTAAAAGTTATAGGTACAGCTAGTGAAATAATGAAAAAAAAAGTTGTCGTTGCATTCACTGACATTGCAGAGATAATAATATATAGATACATTGGCTATTATGTGTATAATATCATGTGAGTGAAAAAAATGTATGATCAATGTTCGACGGTACGTAAAACACTCAGTGGAGACTCCGTAATTACACAGTTATTTGTAAACTCGTGGTCAGTATGCATCATGTCACTGGAGCATCCGTGACACAGCCGCGGAGATATCAGATAGTCGGAACAAATTACCAGATTACGAGAAATGCCACAGCATAATAGAAAAAGAAACAACTAGAGACTAGACTAGAATACTGACTATGAGATTAGCCACAGTAAACGTTTATTATTGTTATTAAATTAATACTTTTATAATAATAATTATTATTTTACACGGCCATATAGGGTGAGTGGAGCTTCGATCAAACATCAACAGTGACGTCCGTGCGGAAATATTCAATACATCATATTAGGTATATTACATATACATACTATAATATAATCGGCATACATAATATATTATAATATTATTATAATGTTATTCTGAACAATGTGACAAATTTCCACAATGGAATGCGTTAGAAGATATTTCCGAATGGTTGTTAGACGTAGTTTCGGTCTGGGTGTGAGTAAGATAGAGGATATGTCTGATTCAAAGATGTGTCTGTCACTGTGGCAAAATTACGTGTATGCATCGCTGTCCATGTGTATGTACCTAACTATATATGTATCTTTTCTCAACTAGGAGGTAATGGGAATAAATATCTAATACTTTAAAAATGGTGTAAATATACATTATGCACGGAAAAGAATCATAGAACGTTCCTAATAGAATGAAAATAAAAAAAGCGACGATTTAAATCTAATTTTCTATATAAAACAATTTTTTCTTTTTTATTGACACGCAACACTATTTGTTTTTTTTATGATTAATGGTTATCTTTCAATAATAAAATGGATTTTTTTATAAACCAGCAAAGACGACGAAGTTGGTTGTCATAATTTAATATTAAATAATAACAATAAGAATAATAAGAAAATAATGAGAAAATATTGATATTAATTAAAATAAAATATACGAGAACTATAAAATTAAGGTTCTTATGCTTGGTTCAAAATCGAAAAATCAAAATATAATGACGTACTAAACGAATACGCCTCGGGGGCTTTCGACACGAGTTTTCGATCCAACCTCTATAGTCGAACCCGTTCTAGTTGATTTACAAACACAGGACGTGGGAGTTATACATCATAGTCAAATAGACAAATGACGTAGGTATCTAGTTAAGGTTAAATTCTATAGCCTAAAATCGTTTGTAAATAATAATTATTTTAATATTATGGTACATACCTTTGGCTATGCCAGTGAGGACGTTGCCCAGATAAACGACCTTGTAACATGGATCGTACTCAGTTATGGTCACGGATCGCCTTCTCCACAGCTTTCCTAGACCCAGGGCACCTAAACTGATGCTTTTTTTGAAAGGCTTTCCTTTTCCGTTTGAAATTAGCTCAGGGTGTTGACTTTCGTGCTTCATTATGGCACAAGCATTAGATTTACAGACCTGTAAAATAAAAACAAATACATGCCGAGATTAGTTTCGTTATACGTAGATATGGCATACAAAGTTATTAAGGTCGTTAAGAAATCAAACTGTAATTTCAGTCATTGATCACTAATACCAAAAGGTATAGCAATTAATTGAAATATAAAAACAATAATTTAAGATATATTGTGATCTAAAATGTTTTACTTTATTAGAAAAAACATAGAAAAAAACAATGTGTATACACGTAGTTATTTAATAAATTATTCAACAGATGGTGACTTGTATACAATAAAATAATAAACAGCATATATCTTAAACGTCGATATTTACATGCATAAAAATGACTGAATATTGATAAACTGCAACGATTACGTTATTTTTCTTGTACTCTAAGCCTAAGTAAGTTATTAAATTATTAACTCGTGGATATTTAATTTAATTAATTAACGATTTATATAAAACGATTATCACTACAGTTTATTTTCGTCTGATTTACACGGACTTGTATTTAAAATAGGTAGGTAAAAATGTTTAGGCGAAACAATTCTTTGTTAAAATTATTAAAGAATGAAATTTAAGACAAGTGACAATTGCATAGACAATGATAACCATATGGAAATATACAATTAAATTAATTATAAATAATAATATATTAACTCAATTGTTTTTATTGTAGTTTTTTGAAACAGATTGAATAAAACAGTGTAAAAAAAAAAAATTCATAATAGATTAAATTTTAATGTAGTCAGGGATGTAGTCACTATATTTGGTATCAAATATAAGATTATGTTTTGGAAAACTAACATAAAATGAAATAAAATAATTATTATAGGTACATCTGGGTGATTTGAAAGCTCAAATATTGCATTTCCCACATACATTTTAAAATACAGATTTTTTCAAATTTCGTTTTAAGGAATTTAAGATTTTTTTTAAATATTATGAATTATTTATACACGTAGAAATAACGACATTTATAGCAATAATATTTCCATAATTTATTATAATGACTAGCGAATCGAAAATAAATTGCAGTATAAATACATTGAGTATAAAATGTAGGTTGTTTAATTATCAATAAAACACTAAACAAATTGAGTATCTGTAGGTAATTAATATATAACATTGTATAAGAAAAGGGGATCTAATGTTAGACATTTGTGTGTATTATAGTACCTATGTATACTCGTATATCGGATATCTGTATTAGGATTATACAGTATTACACTGCTGTTACTTAAAATTTCTTTTACAAACTAAGCAAATACGCATACCATTTTTAATATGTATATTTACTGTATAAAAGAATAATTTTAAGTATGAGAAAAAAACAACAACACAAATAAGTTTGGAAGTGATAACTGATAAGATAGTAGTAAAACTGATAGTAAGGCGATATAATATAATATAATATAATATAATATAATATATAATATAGATTATATAGCCCGGATTATAGCGAAAAATAGTCTATTACACTTATATGAGCATCTTCRATTTTATTTACTTTGCAGACCGTGTAGGTCCATTAAGCTATTATAGAAAATCGTTACTTTATATTCATACATTTTTTTAATCCAATATAGGCTAATATCATACTGTATTTATTGAAAACCATCAAGTGTGTGCTTACAAGTACATCACGACACGAAACAAAATGAAATAATTTAAAAAGAAAAAACGATTTCAACATTAATATTTTTTATAATATACGCCGAAGACTTAACCATAAAATCTCGACATTTAATTTATTTTATTTTTTTCAAAACGGTATTGTATACCTACCTACATTTTGTTAAGCCATACTCATCTAAATAGAGTGCAGCGGTACATCGGGGTCTCGTACTTGGGACATTTACATCAAGCCATTCTATGGTGTAGTCAAAGAAACAAAACACACGAATGGTGTCAAGGACTATGTTTATAGTGACAAAAAAAATACACGTGTTTATAGGTAAGATGCATCTTGTATGCTGTATAGTGTAACAACTGACAGTACACAAGTCATAATAGGGAGCAGCACACACACAAATCAAATATTCTGGTCACCTTGTGTGCATATCATATTTAATTCGCAGGCCTTTTAACTAGTCCATCTTGGGTCACTTAAAACGTTACATAGTACGAGTATCTATTGATAACATTAGAAATCATTTTGTGTCTATACATATTTACCTTAACTGATTAAAACAGATGAAAAAATGAACGGTATAGTTTAAAAATTTGCATCAATATAACCATGAACTATAACCATAAGTGTGTGTGTGTGTGTGKCTATTACCCGATGGATGATACCACGACGGTCTTACGAAAGCATATAACAAACAAACAAGCTTTGATGACAATAATTATATATGATTATACATACTGCAGTGCACTATCGATGCAATGGGTTGTTTGAAATCAATTAGAATATCTATTCAATCGCGTTAATTCAACCCATATGGCCATATGCACGTTAGTGTCAGATGCAACGTATAGTTATGTAAACAAATTACACCAAGACACATTTCAAAGCGTTTCAAAGATAGTATAATACTGTGTAATAATTAAGAAATTGTCTAGGCTGGAAAATGTGTAAATATTATATTGCTTTACAGTTTACCTCTACGATCCCTCGGGCATGTGTTAATCAATTATTTCGTGTATTTTAATGGTTTATTCATAAGCAATACCTATATTTATAAAACAAACATTTTAGATGTTCAATTAAATAAAACATTTAAAATGCCTAAGTTGAAATATCTTCCTATAACATTTACCAAATAAAAATACTACAGGTATACATTTAATTTTATTAAAAGCAAACATTTTAGATTGACAAATTATATTATTTATATTGTTTATTTATTTTCAAGAAGTCAACATAATTTTAGTGAAAGTTTAAAGAAATATGAGAACCATCATATTATGACATAATCTTAACATTTTGTAAGTGTTTTGCAGTATGTGTTCGTACGAATGTTGTACCTAGTACCTATATACACAGCAGCAGTGGTGGATTTACGGTTATTACACACGCACTGATGTAGTATATAACATTATATATTATTATGTGCCTTAAACTGAATATGACTCTACCAGTTGCTCAGAAATGTTTTGAAAGCGTTAATTTTTAATTGACGTACACACCGTGACTCGCGAAACACGTCTTACTTCAACTCGCGCGTATATATTAGATTCTTTTACTATATAATTTTCGGCCACCGCGGTTAATATATTATAATAATAATGATCGTATAACATACAAATAAATGTGTCAGATTCACTGGCGACGACCCGGTTAACTATAAGTACCAGAAATTCGCGTGCATATCTCTAAAAAGAAGCGTAAACTGCACACACAAACAGATAAAAGTAATTTCCCCCACCGACAGTTTAAATTAAAATGATTTAACTCTAGCCACAGGCTTATAAATATTTACCAATATTTACCGATGCTAAATAATGTTTTGACGTACTATAAGACCCCATGCCTAGCGTCTACCAGCCTGCCCAAATTTCATTTTTATTATTATTCTATATGAATTTATTTAAATGTTATGCCTTCATTTCACAGCAAGAACCGTACGGCCCAAACCTCTAATTTTACTATTTTTATGTATATTATAAAGAAAAAAAAATGCATAGTGCTTCAAACATAACATAATATGCACATCAGTATCGCATTTAATTTCACACCGAAACACGTCCACGGACAATATCATCTTAATTAATAATTAAGAAAATTAAGTAAAATTTATTAATTAGTATTAATGTAATAAACTAATAAATAATAATGTATTATGTATTTATTATTTAAATAAAAAGGCTAAAAAAATTTTAAGTGCACATTATGGGTTTTTTTAGTGCAAATAAGTGCTTGCATTTTTAGAGCTACAAGTCCTCTRCCCTACTAATTACATAAGGGCTGCCAACAGGAACATCTGTATGATAATTATTATTGTCTTCAGCCTGACTACCCACACCACCATCGTTTTCTTGAAGGTGGTGTCAACCACCTCTATTACGTGAATGTAATGGTACGCACACATAGACTGTTTCATTTCCAACATATCCGAAACACCATTTAGATTTTTTTAAATGTCACCGTGGACACGATAGCTGAAATACCTAATTTATATTTTCTGATGTAGTTTTGCAGTTTGTCAATATTACAGAGGGACATTTAACAGTTGTATGCAGCAGTTTTACATTACTCAATTAGCCCATTAAAACGATTTCATTCATCTGCTAACTTCAAAAAAATTAAAAAATATTATTTCATGCACGAGAAGCATCATACGCTAGCAACCACTATCAACGAATTCACGATTAAAGACAAAACGTATAATATTTCGACTTATAATAGTTAGAATGATTATGGTCGTTGGTACTGCCGCGGCTGCAGCCAATCTTTAATCACACGCTTGTGGTTTTACCGATAGTGTTTTATGAGAAAAAATATCGGTCCACCTATAGAATATAATTTAATTTTCCGTAGGTTTTAAGCCAATAAGTATCGGTACTCATATTATTATGTTCGCGAACCCTGTTCTACAGATAGTACATATGATAACGAGTGGGAAGAACGCGCTCAGAAACCTAAACAACGATTTACTCATTAAGGAAAGACGTGAATAATATTATGCAAGGAACCGGTTGTCACTCCAGCGACACGGCCCCAACTGTTATCGAAACTTTAACCCAAATGCCCGAGCCAGTACAGGTTAGGATAGGAGTTATTTACGTCGGTCAGTGACCGTGGTTCGTCTGCAAATATTATATTATACGTGGTATATATTATACAGGTATATCGTACATATAGATAATATTTATATTATTTCGATTATATTTTGAACGTTTGTGATGGTAAATAATAATATACGTACATGTGTAGGTAGTTGGTACACATTATTATTGTAAGCTTTTTTATAGGTTTAAACTTTAAACGTTGACTAACGTATTAGGTCTTTTTACTTTTACTTACGGAATTGACAAATTATTAATAAATAAAATATAATATATAATCTTGA